GGCCGTGCCAGGCCCTGGGGGGGCCTGTGCCCAGCCGCAGGGAGGGGTTTCTGGTGGGGCTGCCCTGTGCCATTGGCTGGCACTGTGTCACACCACGCTGCGGGGACAGGAGGTGGCTCTGCCCACCCGTGGGAGGAAGGCTGATCCGGAGCAAGCGGTTTGGGGTGGGTGGGATTTGCAGAGTGGTTGCGATGAGCAGGGTCTGCCCGGGTGCCATCGCCCGCCTCTCCTGCACAAAGGCATGCGAGGGCTGTGGGGAATCCCAGGGCCACGGACAGGAACAGAGGACGGGGACAGATGGCAAACAGGGCTCCGTACCCCGAACGCCATCACTGCATCCCTCGAATGCGGCCGGGGTGTGGGGTGCAGCAAGGCCAGATGAGGTACAGAGCTCATCACTGCAGCCCAAACCGTACCCAGCCGGAGAGGTGCAGGACGGGTGGACCATTTCCCAGCAGCTGGGAGCCCAGTAGCACCCCTAGCACCCACTGTAGTGCAACGGCCGTGCAAACACAGCTGGCATCCAACTGCCCGGGGGGGGACAGCCCTTCCTGGAGAAGCTGTGCCACCCAGGAGGCTGGCAGCACTGGGGGTGCGCTGCATGTGTGCCCCCCCAGCTTGCTGGCTTGCTGCAATGCCTGTACGTGCAAGGGATGCTTACACACGCGCTGTAGGGGTGCCTGAACCCGTTTGCACACGCAGGCACCCAGCAGGGAAAGCAGTCACACACACGGTGCTTGCACACTCAAGGCACACGCATGTGCATGCTGAGCACTTGCACTCGTGTCTGCAGGGCCACCTGCGCGAGGCTGCGGTTGGGTCCCAGCCCTGGGACTGACAGGACAGGGAGGGGACAGCCACCCCGTAACGGTTGCGCGCCCCCGTGGCCTGTGTTTTGCTGTTTACCCAGCGTTTCCAAGGAGAAAACCGTCCTCGGCTCCCTGGCTCTGCTGTGACTCACGCAGGGCCGGGGCTGAGTCACCCTCGCTACGGCAGATACCAAAAGCAGTGCTGCTGGCAACACGGAGTATGGCCACCTGCCAGCTTCCCTGGGCCACTGCTGGCCCCCTTCACCGGGCCAGGGATGTCTCCAGCTGAGAGGAGTCACCTCCAGGGTATAAAACCCCAGGGGAGATGACTGCACCTAGCTTCAAACACCCTGCCAGCCTGGGGCTCTGCTCACCCCCCCTGGCTCTCCTGGTACCCACCAGCCTTTAACCCTCACCCAAACGTCACAGCCACCCAGCATCCCCAGAGATGGAGGGCTAGTTTCTTTTTTTGCCCATTCCAACCTGTCCCATGGGGTTGAATCCAAGGCTGGCTGTACCCTAGGATGGGGTTGGGGCACCCTCAGCCCCCACCTAGCGCCGCGCAATCCAGCTGACTCATTCTCCGACCCTCACACTGTATTTCAAGATGGTCCAAAAAAAAAACCAAACCAAAAAACCAAACCCAAAAAAATCCATGATGTCTGCAAGAAGCAACAGAACAAGAACACCAGGGGAAGAGCAGAGCTGGGCTGGAGGTGCGCACAGCTCTGCACAGCCTGGGAGGAGCCTCCTCCCTGCACCCCCCCCCAGGCACTGGTGTGACACCGAGGGCAAAGACCTGCAGGCTCCCGGCACCTTTCCCTGCCACACACCCAGCCCCTGGGAAGGGGGTGCCTGCTCACATCTCCAAAATCCCATCTTGGCTCAACCAGGGTGGTTTAGGGGAAACTGACCCCCCTCCCAAAGCTAGGGAGCTGCCAGGTTTTCCCAGCTGGGGATCAGCACCAGCCCAGCCACCGGGGGCTTGCAGCACAGCGTCCTCACCAGTCCCACCCCAGCAAGCCCTGGCCCCTTCCCCAGCGACTCACGCTGCCCCCCTGCCCTTCCCAGCCACAGACACACAGCTTGGTGCAGATGTTTATATAAAAAGTAGAGTTTATTGCCATTTCTACCTAGATTTACACAACTGTATCACCGCTTCTGACGTCAAAATGGACGTCCCGTCACTTCTCAGAGAGCTGGCGGGGAAGGCGGGGAGCCCAGGAGCACGGGCCAGCGCCCCCCCAGCCCAGCGGGCTGGAGCACAGCCCCTGTCGTGGCTCTGCCCCGCGGTCAGCCCGGATCCTCCCAGCGCTGCCGCACAGCTCTGCCCCGGTGCCTGCCAGAGAGGGGTCAATCTGTCCCCTCCTTCGGGCTTCTCGCAGTGCTGGCCCCCCAGCCACAGCTGCTCGCCGTTCCAGTCTTGCCTCGAATCCCCCAGCTGTACAGACATGGGCACGGGCGGCCCAGAGCAGGGCAGCCCACAGCCTTGTGGGCACTGCTCACGCGTGTGTTTATACATTGATACAGCTACAGAAGATGCCCAAACTAATAAAACAAGCTTTTTTTTTCCTTGTAATCCCCACACTGATGTGCGTACAGCCATGCACTACGCCGCAACGGCCACCACCGGTGCTGCTCAGTCAGGTTTGGCTTCCAGCATGCTCCTGGGTGGCGAGCGGGACAAATCTGCATTGCTCGCTAAACAACGGTCTTCCTCCAACGTCAGGCTTTGCCAGAAAGAGACCCCCCCCCCTGCACAGTGCAGCCAAGGCAGGGGACTCGGCGCACGCTCCTTCCAACCGTGGATTCCCATTAAAGTGCCAAAGGCCGCCTGGCACTGCCAGGGTGTTGTGGACGCCCAGGTTTCAGCAGAGCCTGGGACGGGCAGGCTACAGATTTACTCCTGGCACACGGCGGGTTGGATGGGGAGGGGGTCAGCTGCCCGCGTCTCCCTCGCAGAAGAGCATCCTCATGCAGGAGACGGCCGCTGGCTCTGCTGGCTGGCCAGGGTTGCCCAGGGTGGGCACGGCTCAGCGCCGGGGTCTGGCAGTCCTTCGTGTGAGATGAAGGCAGAAACAATTTTGCAGGAGATTAAGTAGAAAGAGTTCTGTGGCTCTGCCCACCCCAAGGACAGAGCCACCTTACACCGCAGAGCCCCCCGAGTGCTGGGCCGGGGCAGCCGCCCCGGGGCTCTGCTCCTCCGGGCACAGGACCTCTGTGGGGAGCCGGGACTGGAACTTCTCCAGCTGCTCGGGGCTGGCGAGGGTCTTCAGGAGGCTGTTTTCACGCTCCAGCTGCGAGTTTTTCTCCAACAGTTCTTTGATTTGCTCTTTCAGGACCTCCACCTCCTCCCGCACCGCATACATCAGGTGATTTTTCACAAGATCCTGCAAAAGACGGTTGAAGAGAGCGGTCACTTGACGGTTATGCCCTGGGGGTTACTCCCACCCTGCCCCCCAAAGCTCT